TGAGCACGTCCCATGCCGTATTTGGGGCACACGCTGAAAACCGGTTTGTCGCTCCTCTGGGATTCAGATGTAACTGGGTGTCCTGTTTGTTTCTCGGATACCAGGACTCAGCTGGGGGTCCCTGGCGTTTGTTTGCTCCGTTCCTGGGCCGTTCCCGGGGATGCGGAGACCCTGGCGTGGAGCGCCGCCTCCGTGTGTCCGGCAGAGGGCGCCCGTGCCCCCCGAAGGCGGCGCGGAGCCCAGAGCGCAGCCCAGCCCCGTCCCCTGGTCCTGTGGCTTGCGGGCGGGGAGGGAGGGGTGGTGGTCGCTGCAGGGCAAATGTTGTTCCTCGTTCTTCCTTGAGTCGGAACCAGGTCCTTGGGGTCTGGGGGTGCTCAGCAGCTTTGCAGACTAGTTGAGGTCTTCCAGGTGACTCTCCTCGCCTTCACCGGCTCCTGGTTTGGGGGGCAAGGATAGAAGCTACTATGCACCAGAAGGTTTGTGAATGGGGATTTAATCGAGTGTTTCACAGGGTGGCCCCTGCCACCTCCGCCCCCGTTTTGTACGAGAAGCAGGCGGAATCCAACTCTCCCCTCGAGAACACGCCGTTGCCCTCCACTGTTGCTTGTGTGTCTCGCCTTGCTGCGACCCAGTCAGAGCTCCCTGCAGTTGTCATGTCCCTGGTTGACCTCAGGCTCCGGGCACTGATTCAGCATCCCAGTAAGCACAGCCTGCGCACCCACTGTGTGCCAGCTCCCACTTTCCTGGAGCTTGGGGGAGGAGACAAGGACAGTGAGCAAACATACAGACTGAGATGGTGGGAGGGGCTGTGCGGTCCGGGTTCTCTGCACGAGAGGCTCTGGCAGGGCGGCTGCTCCCCGGGTTGTCTGCGCGAGGGGCTCTGGTGGCTATGTCCCGGGTTGTCTGCACGAGGGGCTCTGGCAGGGCGGCTGCTCCCCGGGTTGTCTGCACGAGGGGCTCTGGTGGCTAAGTCCCGGGTTGTCTGCACGAGGGGCTCTGGCATCTGGGCTCTGGCAGGGCGGCTGCACCCCGGGTTGTCTGCACGAGGGGCTCTGGAGGCTGCACCCCGGGTTGTCTGCACGAGGGGCTCTGGAGGCTGCACCCCGGACTACTGCTGTGCGGTTTTCTTTGCTGTGACCCGGTGAAGACCTTCCTCACGGAGCTCACCGGACTCGCAGTGCTGACACTCGGAGGGTTACCCTGTCCCTGACTGTGAGGTGACACTAAATTAAGAGGCACTGAGGGATTGCAAAGTCTGAGTGGGATTCTGAATTCATGGGTTCTGGATTCTGAATTCGAAGGCAGCAGTTTCCAACCCTGTTAAATCTTGACCCCAGGAAGAAGGACTTCTACATCTTAACCCGGCAGACACATGATACTTACTGGCACTGTATTTTGTTTAATTAACCCTCAAATGATGTCTCCTAATGTTTGGCCCCAGGTCAAGCATTTCACAAACTGTTTAATCTTCTCTACAATCCCAGGTGATAGCTAGTGTCTTGCCCCTTTATGCAGACAGACACTGAGGGATACCTTAGATGTCTTTCCACACCATCCACCCCCTCAGCCTTTGCTGCCCACTGCCTGCACGTCAAACCCACTGACGGGCACCTGTTTGACTCCAAGAGCCCTGGGCCGGAAACGTGGGAGACAACTGCTGTTCTGACCTTGAGCAAGTAATTCACCTCTCAAGTCCCAGAGAAGCACAGAAAGCAACGGCAGGTGTAGTGGCTGGCTGCACTCAGGTGGTACCTACTGTGTGCCAGGCCCCCTTCTGCCCACTTCACAGGTATCTCAGTCTCCACAGAGTCCGTTTGGAAACGGCCTGGAGCTATCCAGGTTGCAGTGAGGCACCAAGGTGGCAGAGCCAGTGCTGGGCAAGAGGTGGGAGCTGCAGCTGCCGAACCCGTGAGGTTGCTTGCCTGGGGGTGGCGGCCTGGCCCCCTGGGGTGGTCTTGTCTCTAGGGGACCCAGCATGGGGCCTTGTACCACCACCCGCTTCCAGCTCTGCCATCTGCAGGTGAAGGAGAAAGCCACTGAGGCCTGGCCTCCAGGTCAGGCTGTGTCCCTGCTGAGAGCTGCACCGGCCTCAGGTTCTTCCTGTAAGGGAAGACCAGGCAGCTGGGGGCAGCAGCAGATCCAGCTCTGAAAGCTCTGACAAGAAGTTCCTTGAAGTGTGGTGGACCGCAGTCAGCATATGCAGGAGATGACCCCAATGCTGACCCTAATGCTAATTCTTGCTTCCCCCACCAGATTTTAATCCTTATCCTGCCCAGGGATTTTAAGGGCTGACCCAAATCCCGACCCAAGGGGAAGGATGGAAGGGGGAACAGCCTCCAGCCTCACCTCCGCTCTCTGTCCTCCCAGGTCGACCCCACCCCTCTCCCGGATCTCTTCCTCCTGGCTTGGTCCAATCCCACAGCCCCCACTGTCTTTCCCCCTCCCACTTCGGCAAGCCCCTCCACATGACCTCTCCCTGCTCCCCAGCACACAGTAGGTGCTCGATAAAGAACCCTGCCTTTCCTTGACTCCAGTAGACGTTGCACCCTCTCCATGGTAGCAGAAAAGGTGGGTGGGCTGTCAGGACTACACTGACAGCAGCGGTCATTTGCAGACAGGTTGAAGTGTGGGGGGAAGCGCGGTGGTGATGCTGAAGCCTACGTTTATGTAGCGTTTATGCGAGCCACGGTAACCCTCACGACCCTCATTCCGGCAGGAGCTACAGCCCCTGCCTCACCGTGAGTGCAGCAGGGAACCTGAACCGCCTGCCACAGGTCCGCTTGCACCGTCTTCCCATCCAGCACCACACTGGGTGCCTTTGCTGTCTCCCAAGAGCCCCTTACCCATGGAGTTCCCCCACGTGCAGGTGTCTGACCACCCAGGACCCGGGAAGCAGGGTCGAGGAGCTCCCAGTTGAAGTCCAGTTGCTGAGATGCACCCTGTTTTGGTGTTGCTGGGGCAGGGGCTGATGGTGGCGCTGAACAGGTTTTAGAGGAGGTTCAGGGTGGCGGCGGGTCCTGGCGCCCAGCAGCTTGTTTCTGATCGCAGCCCTGCCACTTGCCAGTAGGTGACCGTGAGTGGCAGAGGTCAAGGCTGGACTCCGGGAACGTGGGCCTGACACTCCTGAGGCCTCCCGGGTGGTCCCAGCCGAAAGGACCCAGTGTGGGCCCCTTGGGCCTCGGTTTCCCTGGCGTGGGTGCCCTCAATCCCCAGGCACCCTCAGCTCAGGGCTCCCCAGGACCCGGTGGGGGCACAGACCCCGGCGCCATTTCGTGGGGTCCCCCGCTCCTGGCGCCCCTGTGCTGTTCTGTGCAGCGGGAGGGCAGGTGCGCCGGGGACACCCACACCGTCGCCAGGTGGGTCCCGGGGAACTGCAGCTTCTCACGTGCCGGGGCAGGATTCTGTGTGAGGAGGAAACAAACTCCTCCAATGAAGCCGCGTCGCCCTTTCAACGTGAAGGTGCTTCCTGCTTTCGGGGGGTTCGGGGTGCACAGCGCGGCTGCCACTTCCTGAGGAGGAAAGTGGGGGGACCCGTCCTCCCCGCGGCCCTGCCGGTCCCGCGTCTTCCTTCTCCACGTCCCCCGGGGCTCCGAGGCCCGACCCGCGGGAACCTCCAGCCTCTGTCGGCCTCACACCCGGGTCAGGGCCGGGACTCCAGGCGGACGAGGGCCCCGTGGCGCCCAAACGCTCCCCCACCCGCTCCTTTCGGCGCCGCGGGCCGGCGGGGGCAGAGTCCAAGCTCCGGGGCCGCCACACCCCTCCGCGCCCCTCCGCGCCCCTCCGCGCCGCTCCCCTCCGCTCCCCTCCGCTCCCCTCCCCTCCCCTCCGCTCCCCTCCGCTCCGCTCCCCTCCGCTCCCCTCCCCTCCCCTCCGCGCCCCTCCCCTCCGCGCCCCTCCCCTCCCCTCCCCTCCGCGCCCCTCCCCTCCGCTCCCCTCCGCGCCCCTCCCCTCAGCTCCCCTCCGCGCCCCTCCCCTCCGCTCCGCTCCGCTCCCCTCCGCGCCTCTCCCCTCTGCGCCCCTCCCCTCCGCGCCCCTCCCCTCCGCTCCCCTCCGCTCCCCTCCCCTCCCCTCCGCTCCCCTCCCCTCCCCTCCCCTCCGCTCCGCTCCCCTCCGCGCCTCTCCCCTCCGCGCCCCTCCCCTCCCCTCCGCTCCGCTCCCCTCCGCGCCCCTCCCCTCCCCTCCGCGCCCCTCCCCTCCCCTCCGCTCCCCTCCGCTCCGCTCCCCTCCCCTCCGCTCCCCTCCCCTCCGCGCCCCTCCCCTCCGCGCCCCTCCCCTCCGCTCCGCTCCGCTCCCCTCCGCGCCTCTCCCCTCCCCTCCGCGCCGCTCCCCTCCGCGCCGCTCCCCTCCGCTCCCCTCCGCGCCCCTCCCCTCCGCTCCCCTCCGCTCCGCTCCCCTCCGCTCCGCTCCCCTCCCCTCCGCTCCCCTCCCCTCCGCTCCCCTCCGCGCCTCTCCCCTCCCCTCCGCGCCGCTCCCGTCCGCGCCGCTCCCCTCCGCTCCCCTCCCCTCCGCTCCCCTCCGCGCCCCTCCCCTCCGCGCCCCTCCCCTCCGCGCCCCTCCCCTCCGCTCCGCTCCCCTCTCCTCCGCGCCCCTCCCCTCCCCTCCGCTCCCCTCCCCTCCGCTCCCCTCCCCTCCGCTCCCCTCCTCTCGCTCCGCTCCCCTCCGCTCCGCTCCCCTCCCCTCCCCGCCGCTCCCCTCCCCTCCCCGCCGCTCCCCTTCCCTCCGCTCCCCTCCTCTCGCTCCGCTCCCCTCCGCTCCGCTCCCCTCCGCTCCCCTCCCCGCCGCTCCCCTCCCCTCCCCGCCGCTCCCCTCCCCGCCCCTGCCCGACCCTCCCCTCCCCTCCCCGCCCTACCTGCCCTTCCCCGCCCCTGCCCGACCCTCCCCTCCCCTGCCCTACCTGGCCTTCCCCGCCCCGGCCAGACCCTCCCCTCCCCTCCCCGCCGCTCCCCTGCCCTCCCCTCCCCGCCCCTGCCCTCCCCGCCGCTCCCCTCCCCGGCCCTCCCCTCCCCTCCGCGCAGGGCGGGCTCCGCACCCACGTGACCCCGCGGCCGGGCCGGGAAGCGACGGGACGCGCTGGGACCGGCGTCGGGGGTCGCGGGGACCATGCAGCGGAGGTGGGTCTTCGTGCTGCTCGACGTGCTGTGCTTACTGGTTGGTAAGAGCCGCGGGACCCGGGCGTGGGGGGGACCCTCCCGGGACGTACACGCCCCCGGCTCCGCGCAAGTTTGCAGGGGAACGGGGAGGCCGCACGCCCGGGTCCCTCCGAGGCCCAGACCTCCCTCCGCGCCCCCCACCGCGCGCGCCCTCCCGGGCCCCAGGGTCCCCGCGTCCCAGGCCCGGGGGGTTGGGGGTCGCGAAAGGCCTGGGGAGCCGGGACCGGCATCCCCCGCCCCCGCAGCAGGAAGTCGCTGCCTCCCCTCCCGCCCCGCCCGGCCTGGGCGGTGATTCACGCGGGCGGCGGCCCCGGCGGGCCTGGGAGGTGGGTCCGCGCCTCCGCCCCTGGGGTGGGCGCTCCCTCGACCCTGGCACCCAGTGCGTCGGTGGGATTCGAACCCCTGCAGTGCGGGGAGGTCCAGCCGCCCTCCCGGCTCAGGCGGGGGAGACGCTTGGAGATAAAGTCTGGGTCCCAGGCTGGGGGGGTGCCGGGAGAACCAAACCTGTCCGGCGGGTTTGCGGGCAGATGGGGCGAAGGCCCCCCTCCCGCAGGGTCCCGGGAACAAAGGCCGAGTGTTTGCTCTGTGGCTGAACAGACAATGGCCCCGGAATTCTATCCCTGGGGGTGTCCTCCCCACCAACGTGTTTCCTGCTTCTCTGCCATCTCACAGCAGGGCCAAGTCCTCTCACTCCCAAAGGAGACCCTTTTTAGGGGGGGCCAGGTGACAGCAATAAGTCCCTGTGGGGTGTCTGCCAGCCTGGGTGCCATTTCCTGAGCACCTATGGTGTTATTTATTTAAACATTTAGGTGGCACTTTCTGTATGCCAGGTACTAAGCAACATGCAAATAACGGAAACATTTCCCTTACAACAGCCTGTGAGGGAGGTGCTGAGTCACCTGCTGGAGGCCACACAGCAGCGGGAGGCCACACAGCAGGGGGAGGCCACACAGCAGGGGGAGGCCACACAGCAGGGGGAGGCCACACAGCAGCGGGGAGGCCACACAGCAGCGGGAGGCCACACAGCAGCGGGAGGCCACACAGCAGGGGGAGGCCACACAGCAGCGGGAGGCCACACAGCAGGGGGAGGCCACACAGCAGCGGGAGGCCACACAGCAGCGGGAGGCCACACAGCAGCGGGAGGCCACACAGCAGCGGGAGGCCACACAGCAGGGGGAGGCCACACAGCAGGGGGAGGCCACACAGCAGCGGGAGGCCACACAGCAGGGGGAGGCCACACAGCAGGGGGAGGCCACACAGCAGCGGGAGGCCACACAGCAGGGGGAGGCCACACAGCAGCGGGAGGCCACACAGCAGCGGGAGGCACAGCCGAGATGGGGTTGGGTGTAGCTGCTGTGTGCCAGGGGTGGTGGCCAGGCCAAGTGCACCTCTGTTCTGGAAGCTCGCGCACATCACGGTTCAGTCAACACTGAGGTTCCAGATGCTGGCATGAGGGCAGTGTGAGGGCGGGAAGGCTCCCAGGGGGCTAAACGAAGAGAAGGTGTCTGTCCTGGGGACCCCAGGGAGAGCTTTCCAGGCAGAGGGAAGCCCGGCGTCCATCTGAGTCTCTAGTTGGAGTTGCTGGGGCAAGGAAGTCGGAAACGGAGGCTAACCTGTGTGAGCCTCTGCCTCAGGAGAGCTGTGGGTAGGGGCTGGACTCCTTCTCAGCATCTTGTAACCCTGACTTTCCACCCGGCCGGCAACTGCAGGAGCCTCCTCCAAGGCCTCTCTCCGCCCTTACAGCAGCTCCAGCCCCTCCTGCGCAGGTTCTTAATCCCAGTTCTCTCCGCAGTCCTGCCCCAGTGCTTGCCTCTTCAGCCACTGTCCCGCCTCCAGGCCCCGGCGCTGCCCATTCTTTTTTTTTTTCTCTCAAATCTCGCTCTGTCGCCAGGCTGGAGTGCGGCGCGATCTCGGCTCACTGCAACCTCCGTGTCCTGAGTTCAAACGATTCTCCTGCCTCAGCCTCCCGAGGAGCTGGGACGCCACCACGCCCAGATCATTTGTGTATTTTTAGTAGAGATGGGGTTTCACCAGGTTGGCCAGAATGGTCTTGATCTCTTGACCTCATGATCCGCCGGCCTCGGCCTCCCACAGTGCTGGGATTACAGGCGTGAGTCACCGTGCCCTGCCTGCCCATTCTATTCTGCATTCCCTCCACCGTTCTTGCTCTGTGAGGCAGACCTCTGTTTTCTTCACTGGATTATTTCCCCAGACTTCGCCAGCATGGAAGGTGCACGGTGTCCTAGGGCCCTTGACGTTGGCATGTGGGGAGGAGTGTGTGGTTCCCTGCCCCTCCGCTGACATTCAGAACTTAGAAAAGCCACACCCGTTTGTACTTGCCCTGCTGGGCCAAAGGATGCCCTGCCTTGGTTTGTCTCTGGGGTAGCCGATGCGGGCTTTGTCGTGCACCTGCCCCATGGAATAGGGAGCTGCCCTCCGCCCCTGTCCTCCGTCGCTGACTCAGGGCCCCCAGGAGCCCCAGTGCCATGGCAACACCTTCCATAAGTGGCTCTTAAATGTATCTTTGATCCCTGAGGCCAGAGCTGGGTCTGTCCTGGTCACCACGTGGCTGGCCCGTGGCCTGTCATGAGGATCGATGAAGGGGCAGGTGTGTGAACAAAGGCCTCTCAGCTGTGCCCCTTCCTTGGTTTTTTCCTGACTTCTCTGGCCAGTTTTTAGGTTAAAATAAGTCCCGCCTGATTTTAACAGATGTTTATTAAACATCCGCTCTGGCCAGGCCCTGATCAGGGTCCGGGGACGGTGCCCTGAACACGACAGGCCCCTCCTGGTACCAGTGGGTGGATGGGGGAAATTAATGTCAGTGTCCCACCCGTGACTGCGTAATTCCACATGGGATTTGCATGTGGAAGAGGGAAAAAGAGCAAACCTTTCCTTCTGTGAGAGTGACGCTGGCGTGGACGGTCGGGAGGGGAGATGAAACTGAGAGTGGAAGTTACTCAGAGCTACTCTGGGGCCTGGCACATAAGTTAGAACTACTTTGGGGCCCGGCACATTGGCTCACACCTGTAATCTCAGCACTTTGGGAGGCTGATGCTGGAGGATCACTCCAGCCCAGGAGTTTTTGACCAGCCTGGTCAACATGAGACCCCTGTCGCTACTTATAAAAATTAAAAAAAAGGCCGGGCGCGGTGGCTCACGCCTGTCATCCCAGAACTTTGGGAGGCCGAGAGAGGCGGATCACGAGGTCAGGAGCTCGAGACCATCCTGGCGAACATGGTGAAACCCCGTCTCTACTAAAAAAAATAAAAAAATTAGCCGGGCGTGGTGGCGGCGCCTGTAGTCCCAGCTACTCGGGAGGCTGAAGCAGGAGAATGGCGTGAACCCGGGAGGCGGAGCTTGCAGTGAGCTGAGATCTCGCCACTGCACCCCATCCCGGGCGACAGAGCGAGACTCCGTCTCAAAAAAAAAGAAAAAGAAAAAGATATTTCGTGCAGAGAGAAGTGCCTGTTCAAAGGCCCTGAGGTGGGTGTGTGCTGGGTTTGTTCAAGCAGCAGAAAGGAGGCTGTGAGGGTGTGAGGGGAGAGGGCCTGGGGAGTTTGTGTTTGTCTGAGGGGGATGGGAAACGGAGTGTTACTTGGGCCTCCCACGTGCTGTGGAAAATCTCTTCCTTGCTGTCTGGTGGGAGCAGAGGTGGGAGGCCTCCAGGCCAAGGCCCCAAGGCAGGTGCGTGGGGCCCCAAGGCCCCGCTGGTGAGAGAACCTCACAGCTCCCAGGCTTTTCCTCCCCACCAGCCTCCCTGCCCTTCGCTATCCTGACGCTGGTGAACGCCCCGTATAAGCGAGGATTTTACTGCGGGGATGACTCCATCCGGTACCCCTACCGTCCAGATACCATCACCCATGGGGTCATGGCTGGGGTCACCACCACGGCCACCGTCGTCCTTGTAAGGCAGGAGGGGCTCAGAGGGGCGGGGACGGGGACGGGGTGGGCACAGCTTTACCCTGGGGGCCTGACTGGGTGGCACAGCCCTGCCCTGGAGGTGTGTGGGGGGCTGGGGGACACAACCTTACCCCGAGTGGTACTTGTGGGTAATAGGACCCCCTTTAGAGTCCTCAGCTCTCCAGCAGCTTTGGGGAGGCCCGTGGGGAGGAGTGAGGGTTCCTGCGGCTGCGCCCCCCGGGCCTGAGGCCCTTCAGCTGCCCCACTTGCAGGTCTCGGCTGGGGAAGCTTACCTGGTGTACACAGACCGGCTCTATTCTCGCTCCGACTTCAACAACTACGTGGCTGCCGTCTACAAGGTGCTGGGGGCCTTCCTGTTTGGGGCTGCCGTGAGCCAGTCTCTGACAGACTTGGCCAAGTACATGATCGGGCGTCTGCGGCCCAACTTCCTGGCCGTCTGCGACCCTGACTGGAGCCGGGTGAACTGCTCGGTGTATGTGCAGCTGGAGAAGGTGTGCAGGGGAAACCCTGCTGACGTCACCGAGGCCAGGTGCGTGTGGCTAGCAGCCTTCACTCTTGGGGGGAATGGGAGGTGAAGACACTGGGAGGCAGCAGGCAGCTGGTCGGGCAGGAGCCAGACCTCAGGGTTCCGTGGGCCCTGCAGACACTGGGAGGCAGAGGGGAGCAGGCTCTGTCTCCGTCTCCCCTAAATTTCACGCTCTGCCCTTTTCTGCACTATCTTTTTTTTTTGAGATGGAGTGTTGCTCTGTTGCCCGGGCTGGATCTCAGCTCACTGCAACCTCTGCCTCCTGGGTTCAAGAGATTCTCCTGCCTCAGCCCCCCTAGTAGCTGGGATTACAGGCATGTGCCACCGTGCCGGGCTGATTTTTGTATTTTTAGCAGAGACAGGGTTTCGCCATGTTGGCCAGGCTGGTCTCGAACTCTTGACCTGGTGATCTGCCCGCCTCGGCCTCCCAAAGTGCTGGGATTCCAGGCGTGAGCCACCGCGCCCGGCCTTCTGTACTACCTTCTTACTATCTCTACTGATAAGTCCTTAAATTTTTCACCTAATTGTTGTCCTTTTTAAAAACTGAAATAAAATTTGTGTCAGATAAAATTCACAGTTTTTTCCATTTTAATAAGTGTACAATTCATTTTTTGTACATTCACAATGTTGTGCAGCCATCTCCTCGCCCTAATTCCAGAATATTTTTGTCACATCAAAAAGAAATCCCACAGCCTGGGGAACATGGCAAAACCCCGTCTCTACAATGAATCAAAACATTAGCAGCCACGATGGGGTGCACCTGCAGTCCCAGCCCCGTGATGGGGTGCACTGCGCTCCCAGCGACTGTGGAGGCTGAAGCAGGAGGATCCCCTGAACCCGGGAGGCAGAGGCTGCAGTGAGCCAAGATCATGCCACTGTATTCCAGCCTGGGAGACACAGCGAGACCTTGTCTCAAAAAAAGAAAAGAAAGAAAAGAAGAGAAAAGAAAGGAAAAGGAGCCCTTGTGCCCATTAGCTGTCACTCCTCCCCCAGCGCCTCGCAACCACCACCATCCTGCTTTCTGTCTGCGGATTTGCCTGTTCTTAATGTTTCATATAAATGGAATCATACGCTAATGTGGTCTTTTGTCTCTTTTTCTTTTTCTTTCTTTTCTTTTTTTTCTTTTTGAGACAGAGTCTCGCTCTGTCGCCCAGGCTGGAGTGCAGTGGTGCGATCTTGGCTCACTGCAACCTCCGCCTCCTGAGTTCAAGCGATTCTCCTGCCTCAGCCTCCACAGTAGCTGGGATTACAGGTGCCTGCCACCATCCCCGGCTAATTTTTCTGTATTTTTAGTAGAAACAGGGTTTTACCACGTTGGTCACTGTGGTCTTGAACTCCTTACCTTGTGATCCACCCACCTTGGCCTCCCAAAGTGCTGGGATTACAGGTGTGAGCCACCACGACCAGCCCCTCTTTTTCTTTTTCTAATTAAAAAAATGGCAAGGGGGCCAGGCAAGGTGGCTCACACCTGTAATCCCAGCACTTTGGGAGGCCAAGGTGGGTGGATTACCTGAGGTCGGGTGTTAAAGACCAGCCTGGCCAACATGCTGAAACCCAGTCTCTACTTAAAATACAAAAATTATCCGTGCATGGTGGCGTATGCCTATAATCCCAGATACTCGGGAGGCTGAAGGAGAGAATCGCTTGAAACTGGGAGGCAGAAGTTGTAGTGAGTCGAGATTACGCCATCACACTCCAGTCTGGGCGAGAGAATGAGACTAAAAAAAAAAAAAAATGTGTTTTGCCTCCTGGGTTTACGCCATTCTCCTGCCTCAGCCTGCCGAGTAGCTGGGACTACAGGCGCCCGCAACCACGCCCGGCTAATTTTTGCATAAGTTAGTGCATTCTTGTATGTTTTTGAAGTTCATCCATGCTGTAACATTCGGTCAGTTTTTGCTTTATGTATTTTGGGATTCTGTTGTTTAGTATATTTACCTTTATAATTGTTATATCTTTTTGATAGATTGACCATTTCATCATCATAGAATGATATATATGAGTTTTGTCTCAATTTTGTCTTGATGTCTATTTTGTCTGATATTAATATAGCTATTCTGGTTCTCTTTTTGTTACTGTTCGCTTATAATATTTTTTTTTTCCATTCTTGGACTTTCAACCTGTTTATGTCTCTGACTCTAAAGTAAGTGTCTCATACCTAGCATAAGATTGGGCCATGTTTTTTAATGTATTGTCCAATCTCTGATTTTTTTTGAGACAGAGGCTCACTCTGTTGCTCAGGTTGGAGTGCAATGATCTCAGCTCACTGCAGCCTCGGACTCCCAGGCTCAAGCCATCTTCCCACCTCAGCCTCCCGAGTAGCTGGGACTACAGGCATGTGCCACCACATCCAGCTACTGTTTATTTTTTTTGGTAGAAACGGGGTTTTGCCATGTTGCCAAGGCTGGTCTTGAACTCCTGAGCTCAAGCGATCCACCCACTTTGGCCTCTTAAAGTGCCGGGATTACAAACGTGTGCCACCGCACCCAGCCAGATCTCTGACTTTTTACTTTGTGTGTGTTTGTGTGTGTGTTTTTTTCATTATATATTAATCTTTTATTGAATTAAGGCATTTAATTAAACTTTGACTTTTAATTGGAGAGTTTATTTATATTCAATGTAATTCCTGATAAGGAAGGACCTCTGTCATTTTGTTTAGGTTTGCTTAGGTTATTCCTTCTTTTTTCAATTCCTCATTACTGTCTTTTTTTTGTTTTGCTTTTAATTTTTTTTTTCTTTTACAGATGGAGGTCTTGCTATCTTGCCCAGGACTCGAATTCCTGGGCTCAAACCATCCTCCCGCCTCTGCCTTCCAAGTAGCTGGGACTACAGGCATACACCACCACATCTGGCTGGTTTTTAAATTTTTTTATAGAAATAGGGTCTCGGCCGGGCGCGGTGGCTCAAGCCTGTAATCCCAGCACTTTGGGAGGCCGAGACGGGCGGATCACGAGGTCAGGAGATCGAGACCATCCTGGCTAACACGGTGAAACCCCGTCTCTACTAAAAAATACAAAAAAGTAGCCGGGTGAGGTGGCAGGCGCCTGTAGTCCCAGCTACTCGGGAGGCTGAGGCAGGAGAATGGCGTAAACCTGGGAGGCGGAGCTTGCAGTGAGCTGAGATCCGGCCACTGCACCCCAGCCTGGGCGGCAGAGCAAGACTCCGTCTCAAAAAAAAAAAAAAAAAAAAAAAAGAAGTAGGGTCTCACCATGTTGCCTAGGCTGGTCTCGAATGCCTGGGCTCGAGCAGTCCTCCCGCCTCAGCCTCCCAAAGTGCTGGGATTACAGGTGTGAGCCACCGAGCCTGTTCATGCTAAATAATCTTTTTCTTTTTTTTATTCTCTTTTTTTGAGGCAGAGTCTGGCTCTGTTGCCCAGGCTGGAGTGCAGTGGTGCAATCGTGGCTCACTGTAGCCTCCACCTCCTGGGTTCAAGCACTTCTCCTGTCTCAGCCTCCCAAGTAACTGGGATTACAGGTATGTACCACCACGTCCAGCTAATTTTTTGTGTTTTAAGTAGAGACAGGGTTTCACCATGTTGGCCAGGCTGGTCTCAAACTCCTGACCTCAGGTGATCCACTTGCCTCGGCCTCCCAAAGTGCTGGGATTACAGGTGTGAGCCACCACGCCCGGCCGAATAATCTTAATTGACCTGTTTTCTTTCTTTGTTTTTTTCCTTTCTTCTTTTTTTTGTTAATTGACCTATTTTCTTTGTTTGCTTGAGTTGGAGTCTTGCTCTGTCACCCAGGCTGGAATGCAGTGGTGTGATGTTGGTTCACTGTAACCACCGCCTCCTGGGTTCAAGCGATTCTCCTGCCTCAGCCTCCCGAGTAGCTGGGATTACAGGCGTGCGCCACTGCGCGTGGCTAATTTTTGTATTTTTAGTGGAGATGGGGTTTCACTCTGTTGGCCAGGCTGGTCTCAAACTCTTGACCTCATGATCCACCTGCCTCAGCCTCCCAAAGTGCTGGGATGACAGGTGTGAGCCACCGCGCCCGGCCAGTCGACCTGTTTTAAAGTTCACTGTCTCTTTTGCTTCCTCAGACCTGCTACTGAGCCCCTCTCAAGTGATTTTCCATGTCAGATAAATCTTTATTTCGTTCCTTTTATAACTTCTGTTTGATATTCTCTGTTGGATGAGACAATGTTCTCATATTCCTTTGGCTCTCTAAGCATTTTATTCATTTATTTATTTTTACTTTTCTTCTTTGAACATATTTTAAATGGCCAACTAAAAGTGTTTGTCTAGAACCCAGGCTCGATGGCACACACCCGTTGTCACAGCTATTTGGGAGGCTGAGGCAGGAGGATCGCTGGAGCCCAGAAATTCAAGTCAGGCCCTCTCTTAAGAAAGAAAGTTCGTAGTAAGTCCAACATCTGGGTGTCCTGAGGGACAACGTCTATTAATTGATTTTTTTTCCTATGTATTGTTGGCCACACCTATGTTTTTCTACATGCCTTGTAGTTTTTTTTGTTTTTTTTTTTGGAGATGGAGTCTTGCTCTGTCGCCCAGGCTGGAGTGCCGTGGCGCGATCTCGGCTCACTGCAACCTCCGCCTGCCCGGGTTTAAGCAAATCTCCTCTCTCAGCCTCCCGAGTAGTTGGGATTACAGGCGCCCGCCACCGCGCCTGGTTTCTCCATGTTACCCAGGATGGTCTCGATCTCTTGACCTCGTGATCTGCCCAAAGTCCTGGGATTGCAGGCATAAGCCACTGTGCCCAACCTGTTTTGTTTTGTCCTAAATTGGGTGCTTAGAATATTATAATGTAGCAGCTCTGGAAATATGATCCTACCCCCTCCCCGGGTTTGTTCTTGCTGTTTGTTGCAGTGGTTATTTGTTTAATGCAAAGTCTGTATTTTTGTCCCGCGGGGCCGTTTCTTCCTATTCTTTTAGCCTAGTGGTCGTGATAGGACAGAGATTTTCTTCAACATCTGGAACCAAAGAAACCCACAAAACCCTCCCAGAGTTTGTAGAAGGGTCTGTGTGCATGTGGGGTCAGCCTTTCCATGGTTCAGCATGTTTTCAACTCTTAGCTTTCGCTTCCTGCGTGTGCAGAGCCTGAAGGCAGCCAGACGTGAGAGCTTCTCGCAGGCCTCTCCTGAGCTCCTGCACAGCTCTGGTCTAGGTTCCAAGCCTTCATCGCCCAGAGCGTTTTATTCCCTGGCCTTTCCCCTGCTCTGTTTGGTTGGTCTGTTGTTTGCCTCATCTGCTGTCGCTGGCCCCAGGCAGCAGAGAATCATAAATGTGTTGTGAATGTTTCCTCCAGATGTCCCCCAGGTCGTACCTCAGCACCGCAGAACGTCCAGTCAGGTGAGATCAAGGCCAGCCCTTGAGCCATACTCCCGTCCACAGTTGCAAGTAACGTCTGTTCTTGGAATCTGTGCTGGGCATGTGGTCTGTTAGTCTGTTATCCTCAGGCCACCACCAGTCTAGGCAGTGGGAGAGGGACCAGGATGAGTTAAGACGCCACAGAGCTGTTTGTTCTGAGATTCGGCCGGTTTGTCTCGATCAAGTCTTCTGGTCGCTGCAAGCTTTTGATTAGTCCCAAGAAAGTTGATTGGTGACTTTTTGGCCATTTTTCAAAATTGCTTTTGAAGTTTCTTGCTCTATTTTCTGTCTTTCGTTGATGTCTTTCACTGAATCTTGAATTTATATAGAAAGGAGTCTTCCCTCAGGTCCACAGATGGGAGAAAATCCCGAAAAGAAACACAGTGAGAACGGAACTGTGGTGTCGCCTGCTTGCCAGACACGATTGTCTGCCCTGGGTTTTGGGTTCAGGCCTCAGGGTCTTCACGGATGAGGCGTCTCATGCCACAGCCCCAGTCAGACTCGTATCCCATTATCAGATAACTGGAACAGAAAAGGGGAACAGTTTCTGCTACTGGGATTTGACTACATCTAGCAGCAGCAGCCTCCGTGTCGAACCCTCCTTTCTGTGGGAGGGGCGGGGACAAGGGGGAGGTTGGAAGATGCTGAGAGCCACCTGCTCCTTCTCCTTCCTCAGGCTGTCTTTCTACTCGGGACACTCTTCCTTTGGGATGTACTGCATGCTGTTCTTGGCGGTGAGTCTGTTCCTCCAGGGCCTGCTTGTCGGGGGAGCCGTGGCTAAGTCACTCCCTTCCCTGGACCTCAGTTTTTCCAGCTGTAAAATGGGTGGGTAGTGGTGGTGATGGGGGGCTAACTGATTTGTTTATAAAAACAGGAGGCTCGGCCGGGCGCGGTGGCTCAAGCCTGTAATCCCAGCACTTTGGGAGGCCGAGACGGGCGGATCACGAGGTCAGGAGATCGAGACCATCCTGGCTAACACGGTGAAACCCCGTCTCTACTAAGAAATACAAAAAATAGCCGGGCGAGGTGGCGGGCGCCTGTAGTCCCAGCGACTCGGGAGGCTGAGGCAGGAGAATGGCGGGAACCCGGGAGGCGGAGCTTGCAGTGAGCTGAGATCCGGCCACTGCACTCCAGCCTGGGCGACAGAGCGAGTCTCCGTCTCAAAAAAAAAAAAAAAAAAAACCCGGAGGCCCTGGGCTGGCCGGTGTCTGCCTCAGGCCTCAGTGCTGCCACCTGTGCGGTGGGAGGGGAGCGCCTGCCAGGCGCACAGGCTAACGCGTCCTCTCCCCACCTAGCTCTATGTGCAGGCCCGGCTCTGTTGGAAGTGGGCACGGCTGCTGCGGCCCACAGTCCAGTTCTTCCTGGTGGCCTTTGCCCTCTACGTGGGCTACACCCGCGTGTCTGATTACAAACACCACTGGAGCGATGTCCTTGTTGGACTCCTGCAGGGGGCACTGGTGGCTGGCCTCACTGTGAGCTTGTAACCCTAACTCCATCCCCTGTGTTGTCCAGAGACCACTCCCCACTCAACCCTCATCCTGCCCCGGGCACCCTTGCCCCACCAAGTCCTTCCCTGGGCCTCGTCCCTGTCAGTCCTCCCTGGGACCCCTCCTTCTGCCCCCATTTCACCCCGGGACCCCTTCCCCCCAACCCCAGTCCTTCCCTGGACCCCCCTGCATCCCCCATTCCTCCCCTGGGTCTCCTTCCCGGGCACCCCAGTCCTTCCCTGGACCCCTGGCCCTACTGCAGTTCTTCCCTGGGCCTGTCAGCTCCCGAGTGCTCCCCACTGGTCCTCCACTAAGTGCACTCCATTCCCACCCCAGGCACTTTTCCTCTCATTGCCCACCGAGGCCTCTCACTCCCACCTGGGACCCTGTTCATCCCCCTCCTGCTCATGCCCATGTCCCTGGTACCTGGCCAGCCCTCTGCCCGTTCTCACCTCTCTCTGCTCTGCCAGGTCCGCTACATCTCAGACTTCTTCAAAGCCCGACCCCCACAGCACTGTCTGAAGGAGGAGGAGCTGGAACGGAAGCCCAGCCTGTCACTGACGTTGACCCTGGGCGAGGCTGACCACAACCACTGTGGGTACCCGCACTCCTCCTGAGGCCGGACCCCGTCCAGGCAGGGAGCGGCTGTGAGTCCAGCTGAGGCCCACCCGGGTGGTCCCTCTGGCCCTGGTCAGGCACTGAGGGCTCTGGATGGGCTCCAGGAACCCTGGGGTGATGGCAGCAGTGAGCTGGCTCTGCTGCCCCCGCCCTGCACTGGACCAGGGGTCTGGGGGTGCCGGGTAGCCTCAGCATTTGGAGGGGGACCTGTTCCCATCGGTCCCCAAATATCCCCTTCTGTTTATGTGGTTAAGGAAGGGACCGAGAGATCAGATAGTTGCTGTTTTGTAAAATGTAATGTACATGTGGTTTTTAGTAAAATAGGACACCTGTTTGACAAGTGGTCTCAGCGCCTCTGTTGCTTATGGCCATTCTGGGACTGCGCTGCTCACATCAGAGGGCTCCCCTGCTGGGCTGGGCGGCGCTCGGGTGCCAACCACACTCACCTGCTGTGACGGGAGAAGACGGAAGCCCGGCCCTTCCGTTTGTCCAGCACAGCGCTGGGGTCAAGGGTCAGGTGGATCAGCCCACACGGGGGACACTTCACTGCGGAGAGGGCCCTAAACAAAAGGCTCTCCGGTGGAAGGGCCCAGCCTCCCCCGGGGAGGCCTCCCTGGAGGGACTGGAAGTCCTCTGCCCCAGGTTCCTAGTAGAGGCGTCTGAACGGAGGCACTTGGGCTAAGCGTGGCGTGAGTGAGCACGTGGCTGGACCCACCCAGGGCCTGGGTCCTCGCACCAGCTGGGCACCGAGTCTGGGTGCGGAGGACAGTATCCCTGGGGGGTCCGCTGGGTAGAGCCTATTGTCAGGCCTGAAGGATCACACACAGGATTTTCGCCTCAGCCCCCTTCTGAGCCCCTTCCACAGGTTCGCCCAGCCCTGTGTCCTTTAGGCCCAAAGCTGGTCTCTCTGGCTCGAAGCCCTCCCCTCCGCTCATGTCAACCCCCGTGCACCTGGGGGCCGCGCTTCTGAAACGGGTAATTCAGGGGCCGGTTTCCCTGAAATGATTACAGAACACACAGAGCTTACTTTTTCGATGGAGGGTAAAGGGTAAATTTGTTTTTGTACAGTGGGTGACTTAAGTATCTGCCAGCGTTTCACTTGCACCTGGAACCTATCTTAGTCCCCAGCCCCCGCAGGGTGTTCCTATCAGGCCTTAGCCTATGGTGAGGGTAATGTAGCACTTGGGTGGGGGGCGGTGGGGGGCAAAGATGCAGCCTGGTTGCCCCACCCTAGGGGCCAAGATGGGGGAGACCTGCCCTTGGCGGACGGGAAGGAAGGAAGGAAGGAAGGAAGGTGACCCAGACACTGCAGAACTCTAGCTGAACGTCAGGGAGTTGGCTCCATGCGGATGTCAGACAAGTTCCTGGCCAGGAAAGTCACACTGAAGCTTCCCAGGGCCAAGGAGCTCAGGTATCCCAGGACGCAGACTACGAGGGTGTATCTGGGCTCAGAATGTGAGCCTCTGGCAGTGGATGGGGGAGAGGTTGCCAGCCTGACCCCGCAGACAGAGTCACTTGGATCACGAGCGAACGGGAAAGACCCAGGTGCCCCGACACCAGCCAGCACCTCAGTCTCCTCCCAGGTGCAATGGCCTTGAAGACCAGGACCACAGTGAGGACTGAGGCAAGTCTCTGGACGCAGCTACAGTGCACACGACTCGTGTGGTTTGCTGGGGAGCAGGTGGCCGTGCCGGGACAGCCAGTGAAGAGGAAGGAGCAGAGGAAGCTCGGCGTGAGGGAGACGACGTAGCTGAGTCCAGCTGTCGGCCTTGACTTGGCCCGGGGGAGTCTCAATGCTTCAGAAAGACCGCCGGCACCACACCTGTGAGAGCAGAGAAGGAAAGAGCTGTGCTGACCAGAGGGCCCTCAAAGGCCAGAAGGGCCCAGCTATGGGAGCCAGTGGCCCCTTGCTGTTTGGGTGCTGCCCAGCTGGACCCCGCATGCACTGGTCTGCATCTGATGAGAAAAGCCGGGACGCAGTGTGTCAGGCACAGGACTTCTCACAGAGTCCCAGCAGCAGGAGAGCAGACACGCTGGGAGTCAGGACACATTTCTCCACCCACACGGAGCTATGGGGAAGCTCACGTGCCTAATTTTAGGTTTATACTGCCCACACCCTTATGGTTTTATGGAAGAAATAGTATTTTCTCTCATTGTACAAGGAGGGTGTTTTTTTTCTGTTGTTTCTCACAGGAAACTCAGATTCTTAGCCATTCTCACAGGAAACTCAGATTCTTAGCCATGTAAATATCATTTTCCATGGCGATGTCCTCGTCGCCCAGCATTCCTCCTACCTTCCGAGGTTAATTGGTTTTTGAAAAGCTCCTGAGTATTTGATGAGAGGCAGAAATTATTTGAGCTTGTGAGCTACAATACGTGATTGTGGTTTTGTAGGAAATCATACGTACTTTGTTTTTTAGAGATGGGGTCTCATTCTGTTGCCAAGACTGGAGTGCAGTGGTGCAGTTACTGCTCACTGCAGCCTCGACCTCCCAGGCTCAAGCGATCCTCCTGCCTCAGCCTCCTGAGTAGCTGCGACTACAGGCGCCCACCACACCCACTTTCATGGTTACTTTTTTTTTTTTTTTTTTTGAGACGGAGTCTCGCTCTGTCGCCCAGGCTGGAGTGCAGTGGCCGGATCTCAGCTCACTGCAAGCTCCGCCTCCCGGGTTCACGCCATTCTCCTGCCTCAGCCTCCCGAGTAGCTGGGACTACAGGCACCTGCCACCTCGCCCGGCTAGTTTTTTGTATTTTTTAGTAGAGACGGGGTTTCACTGTGTTAGCCAGGATGGTCTCGATCTCCTGACCTCGTGATCCGCCCGTCTCGGCCTCCCAAAGTGCTGGGATTATAGGCTTGAGCCACCGCGCCTGGCCTGGTTACTTTTTTTATAGGTGCCTACTGAAGTATTTAGGAGTGAAATTTTGTGATGTCTGCAACTTATAATATTTCATAATACAAACACATGAAGCAAACATGGCAAACTATTAGTGGCTGTTAAGTCTGTGTGCTGTGCATGTGGGTATCATGATGCTACTCTTTGAAAAATTTTATCTTAAGTCACAAAAGGAAAACTCTGCCTGAGAAAACAGTCCTAAGTTCAAAATGTCATTACCTTTACTTTTAGTGGGACAATATTTATTTATTTTTGAGAAGGGGTCTTGCTCTGTCGCCCAGCCTGGATGGCATGATCCCAGCTCACTGCAACCTCCACCTCCCGGGTTCAAGCGATTCTCCTGCCTCAGCCTCCTGAGTAGCTGGGAGTACAGGTGCCCGCCACCACGCCTGACTAGTTTTTGTATTTTTAGTGGAGATGGGGTTTCACCATGTTGGCCAGGCTGGTCTCGAACTCCTGATCCCAGGTGATCCACCCGCCTCGGCCTCCCAAAATGCTGGGACTATAGACGTGAGCCACCGTGCCCGGCCACATTATTTATTTATTTATTTATTTATATTTATTTATTTTTTTTGAGACGGAGTCTCGTTTTGTCGCCCAGGCTGGAGTGCAGTGGTACGATCTCGGCTCACTGCAAGCTCCGCCCCCCGGGTTCACGCCATTCTCCTGCCTCAGCCTCCCGAGTAGCTGGGACTACAGGCGCTGCCACCTCGCCCGGCTAATTTTTTTGTATTTTTAGTAGAGACGGGGTTTCACTGTGTTAGCCAGGATGGTCTCGATCTCCTGACCTCGTGATCCACCCGCCTTGGCCTCCCAGAGTGCTGGGACTATAGACGTGAGCCACCGCGCCCGGCCACATTATTTAAACTTTTAACGTTAGTTATTAGAACTTGATACAGGAAGGCAGTGTTTCCTCGACTTCACACGGCAGTGGTGTGGCCTGAAGCCTTCTGGACCGCGTTGGTGATGGGGATTTGGGGTCTGTGAGCCCCCAGGCGTGGTTCGGCAGTGCAGTCTGGGCGTTTCCCAGAGGCTTGTTGAGCCCCAAGCCTGGTTGTCTGCCCCCAGTGCTCTCAGGTGCTGACCGCCTCCTACGACAGGAAGAGGCACATCGTCCTGCAGTGTAGGGAATCTGTTCTTCCGCCCGCCGCCTATTTTCAGGAGCTGGACAGCTCCCAGGTCTCATCCTTCGCCTGTTGACTTCTCATTTCTGAGACATAACGAGCTGCAGCATTTTGTTATCCTCATTTTGAACAGTTGTGATTTGTTAGATCTAAGCCTAGTTTTGTTTGTTTTAACTTTGAATCACTGTTTTGTAAGCAAGCAGCCTAGTTTAGACGTTTTAATGGCATTGCAAGGATAGGAAATCCCCGGGAAGAATTAGCAGACGAGGCCAAGTGTGTGGTGAGGGCATTGCACAGCAGGTGGAAGCTTAGGTTACTGGGAATTATTCGGTTCCAGCAATGGGATTTATGAATGAATTCGCCCAGTGAATGAATGGATGATGACTGAGTGAAGAAGACTTAGCTGTGATTCCATGGCCCTCGCCTGGGGTCAGGGCAGGGTGGGTGTGGACGGGAGGGTGTCATGGCAGGTGTTCACCCGTCTGGAAACCCCCCACGTGGACAAGCAGTGCAGCTTCCCTGCAGGGGTTTCCTGAGTCCGGGGCCACACCGCAGGCTGCACCTCAGGGAGTCCACAACATAACATGAGAGACTTTTGTCCTAACTTTGAGCAGTATGTACAGCAGTTGAGATATCTAATAGAAAAGGAATAATATGCATTTGGAGGGGTGGGTGTTTCTCTTTTTTGAGACAGGGTCTGGCTCTGGTGCAATCACTGCTCACTGCAGCCTCGACCTCCCAGGCTCAAGCGACCCCCGGCCTGACTCCCGAGTAGCTGGAAGTACCGATGCATGCCACCAAGCCTGGCTAATTTTTATATTTTTTAATAGAGACTGGGGTTCTGCCATGTTGCCCAGGTTGGTCTCGAATTCCTGGTCTCAAGCAGTCCTCCTGCCAGCCACCCAGAGTGCTAGAATTACAAGTGTGAGCCACTGCACCTGCCAGTAGTATGGTTTTTCTAAAGACAAAATGATTTTCGAATGATGAATCGATGGAACAGCAGCTAAATGAAATGAAACTCTGTGTTAGGAAGGAAACGCCACATGCAGTGCTTACCGAGAGGCAGATGGCGCAACTGGTCTTAGGGGCTCACGTGGAATCGATAGTATGCTGCTAAATTCTCCAGCTCTATTTCAGATTAAAAGACTTACATTTTGTAATCAATTAATTAATTGATAAAACATCCTAGTCCACCTCCTGACCTGATCTATTATAAATATTTGAAAGCACCTTCCTCTAGACGTTGGACGATGAGTTGAAAATCCTAGGCAGTGGCCGGGCGCGGTGGCTCAAGCCTGTAATCCCAGCACTTTGGGAGGCCG